TTATTAGGTTTCAGGGTAAAAAGGGCCACCCTTAAACATCATTGTCATCAGACTTATGTTCTCAAAGTTTTAAACATCAATCTTGATTAAAAGTGAATGAAGTTTCAGTTGTAGGATTTGAAAACAATATAAAGCAAGTTATCTAAATGCATATAAAAATGAATTTTGAAGTACAGAAAAACAAGTTATATATAATACAGAAGTGGACAGCATGCCGACCATTTAATAGGAGAAACTTTTATCATACAGGCATTAAATTACAAATAAATGTCGCTAGACCAACAAGCGCTTTCGACGATAATTATTTTTGTCTTCCTCAGGTCATTAAAAACAGTTAAATTCCTTTTTTTTATTACAAATAACTGACCGTTCCAAGTGTATTAACGTTTTGGAATGGAAGCAACAGTAGAACATAAGACAATTTTTAAATAAAAACACGCACGGTTATAATGCGCATGTGCTATGCGACTCCAAATTGTGGAGCTAGATACGTTGTTTTAGATAGTTAAATAATTATCGTCGAAAGCACTTGTCGGTCTAGCAACATTTATTTGTAATTTAATACCTGTATGATAAAAGTTTCTTCTAAAAAGTTATATTTTACAATGTATAAATTCAAGTTCAGTTATTTATATAGATTCATACAGTATTTATTAAAATATATTTTAGACAGAAAATAGTGTACTATGCAGAAGAGAAAGAGTTTAGAAAGAAGAAGAGATAGAGAAAATGTTTATCCACTAAGTAGATGGATGAACATCAGAAAAGAAGAAGAAATCAATGAAAGTGAAAAGAAAAAGTAAAGCACAAATAAAAGTTAGTCCCAAAATTTTGGACTAAAACTAAAACTAATTTATTTAATTATGATTTTACATAACAAGTAGATAGTATGTCTATCTGGAAAGAAAAAGTAAAGATGACAAGAATTGAATGCAATAAAAGTTATAAGAATGACAATTTATAAAGAATATTAAGATAAGTATGGTAAAACAACACTATTTACTTACTCACAAAAATGTAATCAGCTTTACTTTAAAATATTTTACTTTTGCTTGGATTAAATATTTTCACAATTTAAAAATTCTATTTTCAGAATCCAGTTTTTTGTAAATGAATATAAAAAATTAAATATGAAAAAATAAAGATAGAAACATATTTACTTAATGATGTTCTATTTAATAATTTTATTTTTCAAATTTTTTGTCACAACATTAAAAATTTAGCTATTATTCTTTTAACAGACTTCTGTTATAAGTTTTTGGACAATATTTATTTTCACTTAACCTTTATTACCACCTTAACTCCCATCTCAAGATCTTTTAATTCTGTTTTTATTTGATTTTTCTTCTTTCTAATATACTAAAAATAAATATAACGGATGAATTAATAATTAAGTTCTTTTTTCATTGAGTGTATTATTATAATTTCATCCCATTAAACTTGTTTGTTTATTTATATAAAAGTTATTTTAAACAGAAGACATAGGAAAAATAGGACATCCACTAAATAAAATACTGGACTTTTAAAAATTTCTTTCCTGCTTTTTACCCTGTAGGCATCATTTACTTCATATGCATTACATGTTCAATCATGCTTGCAATTGGATATTTGAATTATGATAGATGGAAATGATATAAAGGCCAGATCACTCATGAAAAATTTGAGGATCCAACCCAGATTTAAACACAGATCTCTCATAGTAGCAGGTAGATGTCTTTGCTGCTTCAGCCATTTGGCAAGCAAGATTAAAATGCTTTTAATGGAATATATTAAAATAAGAATGTAAAAATGATATTAAAAAGAAAGAAAAACTATTCACAATTGAAATGAACTATAGCAGTTAACAACTTAACAATATGGAAGCCAACAATAGTATATCATTGTGTTTAACATCATAAATATAGGTTATGTCATCTTATAATGCATGGACATTTTTAAAATCCTCTTTTATTGACCAATAAACAAACTTGATTTACCCATCTATATGCAAGACACATTTCAAGCTATATGTTCCTCTTCAGTAACCTTTGACACACAATTAAAAATTGATTTCCAACATTTAAAAACCATACAATTATAAGTATAGTAAAACCTCACTTTGTAGTTACCTCACTCATGTGGCCAAGCCCAAAATTTTCCTGTTAAACTGCTTAAGATCCATATATTAATTGAAAGAGAGTTTCAGTTTGTCTGACTTAGTTTGAGTATATGACTGGGGTTAAAAATATGGTTCAGATAGCAAATTAAAGCTCTTATCCTATAGATGACGCAGCTGAAGAGTGACTTGAGAAAGGTATAATGGTTCATGCATAGTGAAATGGAAAAATACAATGTTAAGTCTATGAGACAAACATATCAGGGTACCACCCCCTTTTAACTTTAGCCTAAGCAATTTTTTATGTTTGCAGTTTCATTACTGTAAATATTTGAGTCAATAAATGTGCATTTTAGTTAAAGACCATTGTTTTTATCACCCCCCCCAACTCAACCTCACCAATCTCCAACTACTCAAAAGCCCGAGCAATGCAGCTAGTTTAATATAAATTAAACGCTATCTTGGTGGCCATCTCACTCAGGTATATATTTATATTAAGTGACCAAGATAGGAGTGTCTTAAAGTAACATTAATCCCTTCTTAAAGGATTTACAGCTTATAGGGGTGTCACTTTTTTTATGGATTTATCATACAGGAGAACCATTGGAGACAAGCAGGAATGAACTTATAGACTTTATTGATATCAGCTACATGAAAATGCATTTCGAGTGTCATACTCCTCATCAGTTCATATCTCTAGTTATACCTATTTTTTTGTAGATTTTAAGTTGTACTTCCAGTGTGACACCTAAAATGCATTTTCATGTAGCTGATACCAATAAAGTCTAAATTCATTCCTGTTTGTCTCCAATGGTTCTTCTGTATGATAAGTCCATTCTTACTTCCATAAAACCATCTTAATTAACAAATTATTATTACATTCTACAATACTTGAGCCAGTCCCCAACTAAATAGTGTAAGGAAAATTAGACAGGAATAAACACAGTTGCTACTAGTTAGCATACTGGCAGAATATGTATGAGAATATACATGAGTATACATCATTGGAGACAAGATCCATTCATTGGGTACTCTTACACTGCTTAACTGTATTTGGAAGTGTGCAAATTACATGTTTTACAACCTTTTGTGGTTTATATATCATGAGATAGTCCAGGACACCCTCCCTAGTGCACATTCTAGGCATATTGTGACAGATACACAAACAGTGGCATCAATGGCTTATATATATATATATATATATATGATGGATTATATTATTTTGTGGTTAATTATTACATTTATTTTTTCCAATTCTTTAATTTTATTTTGTCATTTATAAATATATATTAATTCTCTTGTTTATGAACTACTGTTACTTGTTTTTATTGAAGATTGTTTATTTATTGCATTTGTTTTAATGACAATTAAAACTTTTTGTCAATTTCCATTATTGTTCACTTTACTAAATTGTTGATGCTAATGCTTACTGTAATTATATATTTTGAACCTGTTGTCATGTTATTCTTCATAACTTTGCTAATACCACAAACCTGTATAAACAAATTTTAAACCAATCAAAAATAAGCATGTTTGTTATTTTCTTACTTATGCTAAAATTCTACAACCTAAATAACTTTTTTAACCTGGTCCCACCACTTTCTGGATCCAAGAGCTGCCAGTGTTTGTGAGATATTTAATAACAAATAAAATGTAAATTTAACATGTAAACAAATTTAAGCAATTTCTTATAACAATAAATAAGCAACATAAAATGAAACAATATATAATTAATGCAATTAAATTAAATAATATTTAAACTATTTTAACTGTAATCATCATCTATAGCAGTATTTGTATCATATAATAATTTAAAGAAATAACAACATTTTAATCCAGCAATAAATTAAAGAAGTCATAATAAAAATGCCACACTATATTATGATTTATTTGAAAGTAATTTTAAATATAATTCATCCATACAATATACATATTATAAGTTTAAAATATTTGAAATTAAATTTTTTTTTTCAATTTTTCAAACTTAGCCATTATATAAATTATAGTAGAGAATAAATCTGAAAAGTAACAATTTAATCTTGTCATTGTAGTAATTAAATTATTATTATTTATGATAATTGTGATAAACTTAATTCAAAATTTATACATAACATAAATAAAAAAAAACTACTCAACAATTTCTATTTAAGGTGTTGTAACATTTAAAAAAAAATAACTAGAAATTTTCCTTATTCAGTGCAACCAACTGGATCACACATTTTATTTTTTCTATTGTATTAAAAATATATTTTGTAAAATGCTTAAATAACCCAATATTCATTTGTGTCGAAATAATGACTTATTACAACTTAATGCTAATACTAAAATACACCGGGTTGACAGATACAAATCGATTTAAAATTTGAAAATAACATTCAAATACTGTTTATAAATCTGAGAAATAAATTATTAAACTCATGCAGAATTTACTTTTAAGTAATTTGTGTATATGTATATACAGATACACAAATTATATATAATAATACATGAATACACATTATAAATTATGTACGTATACAATAAGTAAACATATTGTGTATGTACTGTGCATATATGTTTTGTATACATACCTAATTTATAATGTGTATACATATATTATACATATACACAAATTACTTAAGAGTAACTCCTACCAGAATCTTTTGTACTTAAATTCTGCAAGAGTTTACACACACACACATTTTATAAATGTACATACCCAAAATATAAGTGTACACATGTACACAAATTATTTCTGCCAGAAAGATTCTTTGCCATAAATTCTTTAAATCAAGCTGGAAAAATGCATTAAATTGCTTTGGAAAATGTACAAATGTACATAAAACACCTGCTATTTAATAATATATGACAAGGTAAAATTGCAATTATGAAATTGAGTAATTTTCATACTAATTATTCTTAATTGTGATAATTAACAAATTAAATGTCAAGTTCCAGTTAATTAAAAATACCTGAAATGCATGAATATAATTAAATGTTTTTATTATTATTATTTTTTTTTTTTCTACAAGTTTTATATTTAGGGTTAACTTACCTTATAAACAGGAATCAACCTTGAAAGTTTATTTAGTTCTTGTCAACTAATAACGTTAAACATATCTTTATAGGGAAAAAAACCACGTTTGTTTTTAATACATCTTACCGCCAAAATAACTAATTTAAGACTAAAGATATAAAATAAACCATAATATTTATTACAAAAATAATCCTCCCTTCCCCAACACTACAGCTAACTAACTGAAAAGGCGGCGGAATCAAAACGGAAAATATTATTTTAATATATAATATATTATGTAATTTTTAATATTTGTAAAAAAAATTTACGATTTTCTAAATTTAATTTACATTATTTATAAATTTATACATTTTTATTTCGTTTTTTTTTGTAATATATCACAGTTTCGCTATAGCAATTGTGAAAATTGGATTGGCAAGAGTCTAAGCATTAATTCGAAATTATGCCGCTACTGCGAACAGCGCCATTCGCCGCAAATGGATTTGGATTGATGCCGTTGATGGCCGGATGGCTGAGCGATGCGTTTGTATCAATTTTCTATGAGATTTGACCGATTTTACGAATTTATTTGATAAAAATTGTGATAGCCAATTGCCGATAATCTGGTCTTATTTGAAAAAATCGGGGAGAAATTTTAACTGTTTAAGTATGAAAGGTAACTCAATGAAGAACTGAAGAATAAGAATTTATGTCTTTCGAGCTAAATACTGAATGAAAACGTTGGGTTTTATAAATGGCTTATGTTCTGTTTTCAATAAATAAATAAAATTTAATATCCGCCGTTTAATATCCTCGTATCCGCCGTTGCCTGTCATGTGACAATGTACTTCTATTTCTGAGTTGTGGACAACAAAAGATTAAAAACAGCTATAGATTTCGAAAACACTAAGTCTGTATAGAATTTTATCGTCTAGAATAAATGGCCAGAAACAACTTATCCTTTACTCTCAAAGTTGGATAAAAGACTGTAATAAAGCGTTTTAATGCAGTGGAGTACAGTAAAACTCCAATTATATAATTGTCCTCCGACCTTGTTAAAAAAAACACGCATTTATACATATATGCATGAGAAGTATTTTTTAATGTAGACAATACTATTTATTTGTAGTTAAATTTTCAGTGTTTGTTTACACAATTATGTACACTAAAATACATAGTATGGTGTTTAGATAAAGAGAAAATTAACTATTTTAAGCAAAAATCTAATTATCCGGATAATGAGCAAATCCAAACGGCCCGAAATCCCAATTAGGATAATGGAGTTTCTGCATTGTTTCGTTTGTTCTGCCAATTTTCACACGTTTTCATTATTATTATAAACTTCCATATATATGGTTAATTAAGCTTATTTATCTATTTCAGCTTAAGATATTTGGTTGTTTATTCCTCTTCCTCTACTGAATGTTTCAATGCCGTAACACTTAAATATAACCGGCTTATTTATTAATGGAAAACTAAATAATCCTTTGCAATCAACAAAAAAATTATTATGACCTCAGCAAATTTTGTAATCCTATACGAATTAGAAGTTTTTGATTGGGCCGTTTTTCTGGTCCCCTTTTATATAAGTAGTACCGAAAAACTTCAGTTGTATTTGAATATTTGTAATAATTAGTACAAATCTTGCTAGAATCCCAACTTCCCCTGAGACCTTTATGTAAATGTCTGGCAAAAGTTGACCAACAGCTGTTCTCAAGATCAAACAATTTTAAACACTGTANTAAATATAAAAAATTAATTGTATTCATATACTGTATAAATCATCAAAGAAGAATAGAATATATCAAAAACATTTAAATAAATTTTGTTCTGAAATTCATTTTTTATATATAGATTTAATGCTCTAAATGACAAATTTGACAAATGACAAATGATTTTATTACTTGACAAATATATAACATAACATGAAACAATAAAAATTTATTAAGTAGCAGAGCCAAAAGGATATTCAATATCAACATCCAAATTTATAGATAATTTTGAAGAATAAATAAAAAATAATTAAACCAAGAAGTAAACAACATGTGAATGTAACACCAAATCTTCTTTGTAGTACCTTCTAAACAATTCTCCAGTAGCTTATTATCTTGATAATGACAAATGTTTTTGATCCTTCAGCTGGATCTTCTGCAGATCAAACATAAACGATGCATTTTAAAATGTTCCATTAATCAAATCTAATTAAATCAAATTAATCAAATCAAATCAAATCAGATTCCAGAGAAAATTTGGAGAATTGTTTAGAAGGTACTACAAAGACAATTTGGTGCTATGCTATCACACCAGTATTAATAAGTGTGAGTAGAACATGTAAATCTTTTATTTTACATGAAGCAAAGAAGTAATATACTGAAAATAAATTTGTGTAAAATAATAATTTTACTGTATTTTAAAAAAAAGCTTTTATTGATCATGCAAGAGGGCTAGAGCCACTCTACCATATATATCACTACAGTGCATTCACACATACATGTACAGTACATCATGATTAAATTCTACATTTAGTTATGTTTATTAGGTTTCAGGGTAAAAAGGGCCACCCTTAAACATCATTGTCATCAGACTTATGTTCTCAAAGTTTTAAACATCAATCTTGATTAAAAGTGAATGAAGTTTCAGTTGTAGGATTTGAAAACAATATAAAGCAAGTTATCTAAATGCATATAAAAATGAATTTTGAAGTACAGAAAAACAAGTTATATATAATACAGAAGTGGACAGCATGCCGACCATTTAATAGGAGAAACTTTTATCATACAGGCATTAAATTACAAATAAATGTCGCTAGACCGACAAGCGCTTTCGACGATAATTATTTTTGTCTTCCTCAGGTCATTAAAAACAGTTAAATTCCTTTTTTTTATTACAAATAACTGACCGTTCCAAGTGTATTAACGTTTTGGAATGGAAGCAACAGTAGAACATAAGACAATTTTTAAATAAAAACACGCACGGTTATAATGCGCATGTGCTATGCGACTCCAAATTGTGGAGCTAGATACGTTGTTTTAGATAGTTAAATAATTATCGTCGAAAGCACTTGTCGGTCTAGCAACATTTATTTGTAATTTAATACCTGTATGATAAAAGTTTCTTCTAAAAAGTTATATTTTACAATGTATAAATTCAAGTTCAGTTATTTATATAGATTCATACAGTATTTATTAAAATATATTTTAGACAGAAAATAGTGTACTATGCAGAAGAGAAAGAGTTTAGAAAGAAGAAGAGATAGAGAAAATGTTTATCCACTAAGTAGATGGATGAACATCAGAAAAGAAGAAGAAATCAATGAAAGTGAAAAGAAAAAGTAAAGCACAAATAAAAGTTAGTCCCAAAATTTTGGACTAAAACTAAAACTAATTTATTTAATTATGATTTTACATAACAAGTAGATAGTATGTCTATCTGGAAAGAAAAAGTAAAGATGACAAGAATTGAATGCAATAAAAGTTATAAGAATGACAATTTATAAAGAATATTAAGATAAGTATGGTAAAACAACACTATTTACTTACTCACAAAAATGTAATCAGCTTTACTTTAAAATATTTTACTTTTGCTTGGATTAAATATTTTCACAATTTAAAAATTCTATTTTCAGAATCCAGTTTTTTGTAAATGAATATAAAAAATTAAATATGAAAAAATAAAGATAGAAACATATTTACTTAATGATGTTCTATTTAATAATTTTATTTTTCAAATTTTTTGTCACAACATTAAAAATTTAGCTATTATTCTTTTAACAGACTTCTGTTATAAGTTTTTGGACAATATTTATTTTCACTTAACCTTTATTACCACCTTAACTCCCATCTCAAGATCTTTTAATTCTGTTTTTATTTGATTTTTCTTCTTTCTAATATACTAAAAATAAATATAACGGATGAATTAATAATTAAGTTCTTTTTTCATTGAGTGTATTATTATAATTTCATCCCATTAAACTTGTTTGTTTATTTATATAAAAGTTATTTTAAACAGAAGACATAGGAAAAATAGGACATCCACTAAATAAAATACTGGACTTTTAAAAATTTCTTTCCTGCTTTTTACCCTGTAGGCATCATTTACTTCATATGCATTACATGTTCAATCATGCTTGCAATTGGATATTTGAATTATGATAGATGGAAATGATATAAAGGCCAGATCACTCATGAAAAATTTGAGGATCCAACCCAGATTTAAACATAGATCTCTCATAGTAGCAGGTAGATGTCTTTGCTGCTTCAGCCATTTGGCAAGCAAGATTAAAATGCTTTTAATGGAATATATTAAAATAAGAATGTAAAAATGATATTAAAAAGAAAGAAAAACTATTCACAATTGAAATGAACTATAGCAGTTAACAACTTAACAATATGGAAGCCAACAATAGTATATCATTGTGTTTAACATCATAAATATAGGTTATGTCATCTTATAATGCATGGACATTTTTAAAATCCTCTTTTATTGACCAATAAACAAACTTGATTTACCCATCTATATGCAAGACACATTTCAAGCTATATGTTCCTCTTCAGTAACCTTTGACACACAATTAAAAATTGATTTCCAACATTTAAAAACCATACAATTATAAGTATAGTAAAACCTCACTTTGTAGTTACCTCACTCATGTGGCCAAGCCCAAAATTTTCCTGTTAAACTGCTTAAGATCCATATATTAATTGAAAGAGAGTTTCAGTTTGTCTGACTTAGTTTGAGTATATGACTGGGGTTAAAAATATGGTTCAGATAGCAAATTAAAGCTCTTATCCTATAGATGACGCAGCTGAAGAGTGACTTGAGAAAGGTATAATGGTTCATGCATAGTGAAATGGAAAAATACAATGTTAAGTCTATGAGACAAACATATCAGGGTACCACCCCCTTTTAACTTTAGCCTAAGCAATTTTTTATGTTTGCAGTTTCATTACTGTAAATATTTGAGTCAATAAATGTGCATTTTAGTTAAAGACCATTGTTTTTATCACCCCCCCAACTCAACCTCACCAATCTCCAACTACTCAAAAGCCCGAGCAATGCAGCTAGTTTAATATAAATTAAACGCTATCTTGGTGGCCATCTCACTCAGGTATATATTTATATTAAGTGACCAAGATAGGAGTGTCTTAAAGTAACATTAATCCCTTCTTAAAGGATTTACAGCTTATAGGGGTGTCACTTTTTTTATGGATTTATCATACAGGAGAACCATTGGAGACAAG